AGAAATTCAAGCATTTCACTTGCACTTGAATGACTTTTTCTTGTTCTCTTCCTGATCTTTAGTTCTATTTTGGAGTCACTGTTGTCAGTGTCATCGGCTTCACTTGTTGCAATATTAGCATCACTAGATGCTGAGCTAGATGGTGAGACAACTTGAGAATCAGATACTGAAGTATCAAAAATGCTGGGTTTATATTTGAACTGTCTCCAAAAATTTCACCCATTGCTTCCATAAATTTCCATGATTTATTTTCACTCCCTGTCTTCTTGTTGTCTTCAATCTCTTTGTATTTTTGCTCCAGTTTAATCCATTTCCGTTGACATTGTTCTCCTGTAACATTTACTTCATCAGATTTACTGTTGAAAAGGTGAGCAACTAACTCAAACATTTATTTCTGTGCCCTTATTCAGTCGAGACTTCAGCTGTGAATAGCATTCAATTAGTAATTTTACATGATTATCTTCCCATTTTGTTAAGGTTGAAGTTTCAGCAGACGATTGTGAGTTAATAAGCTCAGATACAGGGAGGTTAGGGTCAAACCAGCCACCTAGAAAAGCAGTAATTTAAGGTATAAGGGTACCCCTAGCGAACATTGTGCATTCAACTCTTAATAGCACAAAACCTTTTAATCAAAACCTCAACAAAGTACACATTTTCTGATAGACGTGTTAAGTCGCAATGGAGGCTTCTTGCAATGGGAGGAATTGAAGGCTAAGGGTCTGAGGGATGATAATTACTTTACTTGGTTTGGTCTGATTAACGCGATTCCTCGTGAATGGCGAGAAGGGATTTTTCAACCGGGAGACGTAATACACATGGCTGTTTATGACTCCAAAAGTCTGGGAGTTTTTATAAATTCAGTCAAAACTGACATAACGAAATTTACTTCCAAAGATTTTTATAAAGAATTCGCTTCGAAACTATTTGTAGTGCCTACAGCTCAAGAGAGATACAATGCAATTTACTCGAATTGTTCTCTTGATTGGGGAAAAATCTATGCTTTGCCTTTCCAAGTTGATTTAGACACTCGGACAAAGGAAGGATAGTCATTTTTGTTACTGATGCTAGACTTTCTAAACTCGTTGACAAAGTAATTATTAAAATAGGTGATTATGAAATTAATGGAGTTTATGATTTTAAGTATTTAGGCATTGTCCGTGACGATAGTCTTACGTGTTCGTTATGTTATTTCTAAGGTTGGAAAAAGAGTAGTTGTTCTAGGGCGACTTAGAAAGAACCTTACTATACATGCAGCATATGAGTTATGCAAATCGTTAATTTTGCCTATTTTTGATTACTGTGATATTGTTATTGTGGGCTTACTGCAATAAAGCAAATGGCCCCACCCACAAAAAAGGTCACACCCTTGAACTAGTAATAACTAGAGTCGCGGATGAACTGGTAACAGAAACCGATATACGGGGTCCAGTGCTTTAAGACCACTTAGCTGTCCATTGTAAGTTACGTCTTAAAAAACCTCCTCTGCAACGTGCAGAAGTTCGGTACCGTAAGTTACGTTTGGAGCAGTTCAATGATGACGTAAAAAAAGTATGTGCTTTTATCAGCTGACAACGCTGATCTTTTCTGAGAATTTGCTCCACCGTAGAGCATAGAAGCGCTTTCCAACAACTTCTTCTACAACTGAGCTAGTAAATAATTTTGCAAAGTTCTTTGAAGGAAAAATAGCTGATATAAGATCTGAATTCAATCAAGTGCGCCGCCATATCCAAGCCTTAATAGAAGAGGAGGAAATTTCATGTCTCTTATTCTCAGATTTCAGAATAGTGTCTGAAAAGGAGGTTGATGATTTCATGAGTAAGGCTGGCCAAAAATCTTGCGAGCTTGACCCTATACCAGCCACGATTCTAAAAGAGTGCAAAACCACACTATTACCCGTTATCACTAAAATCACGAACATGTCGCTCCAATTAGGATCCATGCCAACTAGACTGAAGGAAGCTTTGGTTAAACCGAAACTAAAGAAAGAGTCCTTAGATATCGAAACATGTCCTAATTTCAGGCCTGTTTCAAATCTTAAAGTTGTATCGAAGATAATTGAAAACGCAGTCGCCTGTCAAATGAAAGATCATATCTCCGATAACAACCTTGAGGAATCTCTTCAGTCGGCTTACAAACGCTTCCACAGTACTGAGACAGCTCTTTCGAGAGTACAAGATGACATTCTCCGTGAGATTGATAATCAGAAATGTGTTGCTCTTTTGCTGCTAGACATGCAGGCTGCTTTTGACACAGTTGATAATGAATTGTTGCTAAAAAGGATGTCTAAGCGTTTTGTAATAAAGGGTAAAGTGCTGAGCTTGTTTCGTTCTTACCTCAAAGACCGGAAGCAATTTGTCATGATAGACGGAATTAGGTCAATGGCAAAGGATTTCTAATTGAATTGATAAATTTTGTTTCTAAATGGGTACTAAATAGTTTTCACTTATCTCTAAAAATGAACGTCCTTTCAAGCCAACGGTCTTTCTGGTTTGAATCAGCTGTACGATATGAATATATTTACCACGTCCACCAACGGTCTTTCTGGTTTGAATCGGCTGTACGCTCTGGGTATTTACCGCTGCACTATCCGTGTCAAGCAGCGCCGGCGCCGCTTCTTTAGCGATTACTCACCTTTAAACCTTTAATAAGTTAATCAAATTTACCTTCAGTACAGTAAAATAGACCGGGGTAGGAAAGCAAGAGCGGTTCTTTTGTGCTCTCGTCTGCTCGGATAATCCAATTATTTTGGCTGTACATAGGGCACTTTGTTTACACAGCAATGACAGATATGACTTTGGCGAACGCGAAACGAAGCCCGAACCACGGTTCATTCTTCGTAATACGACACTGTCTTGATGACAGACCCGTCCTCGAGAACAGGCCCGTCTGTGCCTCAGTTTAACGTACTGTTTGCAATAGCCGGTAAAGTTATCGCAATTAGATCATAGGAACAAATCAAATGGGAAAACGAAAGCAAACCCTGCTAGTGAAAAAGTTTGTACTTAGACACGAACCCACACAATAATAATCGACATTCCCTAGTGTAGAGAAAGTTAGATGACGATACATATTTAACTATATCACAGATCATATATCATATCTCCATAGGTTGGCTACAAGTGGGCCCAGATGGGCCATTTATTTTTTTGAGAATCTAAAAATATTTCGGGCATTTATTTTGTTATTGATTATTAAGGTATTTCAGGAACCCACTACCTTACCCATGACTATGATCCCACGAACCGCACCATAACACACTTTGTAAATCGATCATAATGATCGCTGGCTAGCTTGACCTCGAGTTCGTATTACGAAGAACGAACCGTGGTTCGGGCTTCGTTTTGCGTTCGCCTAACTTGTATTATTATAGAAAGGTTATATCAATGCAAAGGCGGGCCTCGAGAATTATAGTTAGGTCCAAATCTAGCAATACGTCTGTTAACCAACTTAAAGTGCAAATGAACCTTTTGACAATACATTCAGTACTGGTTCTGCATAAAGTAAATAGTTGATTGGTAAAATATTTCTTGATTTGAGTGATGCGTCTCTAAGTTATATAGGTTTATGCTTCCAATATTTTAATGATGATGACGTCAGTTTAGGTATTTGAGTGTTTTTGTTGTAACTAGTAATACTAAATGCTGGCTATTTTGAAAATAAAAATTCTAAATAGCTTCCATGTAAACCATGAGTGAAATAATGATGCTTATTAAATACAGTATCTATGAACCAGTTCGATTTTGCATATTTAATTAAGCCTTAATAGACGTCACACTCACCTTCATAACTTAGAAACGCATCACTCAAATCAAGAAATATTTTACCATTCAACTATTTACTTTATGTAGAATCGGTACTAAAAGTATTATCGAAGGGTTCATTTGCACTTTAAGTTGCAAAATTTTGAAGGCCGCCGAAATACTCATATTTTAGGTTTAGTGAAGAAGTGTTTAAGGAATAATTTTATATTGAATAAGGAAGTTGTCTCGAGAGCCACGAGAAGAATTGAATTTATATATTTGCCGTCAGTACGAACCAAGACCGCCAAGAAAGGCTTTTATTATAATGGCTCATTAGTTTACAATAGTTTTA